CCCCATTTTGGGTATCCAATTTCTATACTGCCCACTTACATCAACCTAGTACTCTAAGGAGACAAACATATTCTTTGATGTGAAGAATCTTCATTCCAGTTGGAACCTTGTGAAGTCCGCCTCCATAAGCAAAGACAAATAAGGACAAGTCATCCATAAAGAGTGAAGCAATATGCACCAGTTCACAGACTCAAATATCTTCTCTTCATCTGGTTGGGTTCTGGTCAACTCATTGTAGGCTGCCTCACTTAGCCTCACCAGGGTGTCAATTGGTCACCTTGCCTTAGACTATGGTCCCATTACAAATTCTCAACAACCTCAGCACCCTTGTGCTAGGTTATGAACTTCAGACCACTCAACCCACACTCATCTTCTCCTCTAGTTCCTGTGAACCAAGTCCATGGGTGTTAGTGGCCAGACTAATCCCATCTCTTTATTGCTGCATTTCTCCCACTTCCACTCAACAAGTTGATCCAAGTGGTCACCTAGCAAGCATTTCAGCCTGCCCACAGGCTCCCTTTAGCATTCAATCCTAGAGAGGAATTTTCTTCATCATTCCTGATTTGTTCCAGCTTCTGACAAAAACCGCTCATTCAAAATTCCAACAGCCTAAGAGTTCCTTTTTCTTCAATCTATCAACAGCCCTTAGGCAGATCTCTTGGAATGCAAATATCCTGAGTACTCCAAAGCACTGGGTGGGGCTAATCTTTTCAGAGCCTTCTTTGTAGAGATGTATGAAACCCATCTAAAGGTCAAATTAATGGCTTGAGGCAAGTGGGTTTACAAACTCTCTATTTTCATACTTTCCAAAAATCATCTCATTAAATCCTTATATAAACAATAACAAACCAAGAAAAATCAATATAAACAAAGTAGAATTAGATCCTAAACTCAATTCTTAAAACAGTCAAGTTCAATCCTTTTTTAGCTTATCTAAATCCTTAAACTATTCTGTTGATACAAAATATGGGATTAGGCCTCTAAGAGCATTGTCATATCCAGGCTTTCTGTCAGCCATTTTGACCTTCTGACAGCCATTTTCCCTAAGCAGCATGGTTTCTGAGAAATTCAAGGGGTGATTTCTACTCCTGAGCTCAAAATATACATTAACAACATTCATTTTCATCATCTCAAAGGAATAGCCAAAAATAACAAACAAACAAAATAATCAAAACTTTAACTGCCCATATTCTTTCCAGAAAGCAATCCAGTAAACTGCATGGACATCTCTGATTTCTGGCTAGTCAAAGAAGAAAAACTACTATGAGGGAGAGGTCAAACAAACATTCACTCTCCATCTTTATGATTGTTTCTCTAGTACCCTACTCCTGGTACCATAATGTGTTAATCTGGGTAGACTAGAGAAACAAATCCATAGACATATATGTGTAAGTAAGAGCTTTATATACAAGAGCAATTGAATATTGAGAAAATATCTCAGCCCAGTCCAGATCAAGTCCATAAGTCCAATATTAGCCCATATGTCCAATACCAATCTATAAAGTCCTCTTCAGACTCACAAAACACATGCAGTGACACTGAATGCAGGATGATCACAGGTCAGTGGATGCAAAGTCTTGTGGATCCCATGGCAGTAGAAGTATCTCAGTGCTGGCAGGGGTTTCCACCTGGCTCCTCCAGTTCCCAGGGCACGAGCTCTATCAGTGTAGTGCCATGTGTCTTGTGAGTTGAGCATCTCTCAAGGAGTGAGCAGAGAGAGAATATGTTTCCTGCCTCCAAGGAGGAAATACTGGAGTTCCCAGAATCCTCAGGAGAAGGCCATGCCCACACAGAGGCCTCATTGGCTATGACCCAATTGACAGACTAGACTCCAGCCCTTCACTCTTAATCTCTTAAGTCCCAAATTGACACTAGATTATTTAACTACCACAATATATTGTTCCATATTCTCACTTTCATAAAGAACATTATTACATTCTTGTTCTGTGATGAAATTTTTACATTAATCAGGGGTCATCATTCTATGCAGGAAAATGTAGAAGAAAAAATGGGAAAAAGGGAGGAAAAACCTCTGTCAGCCAACATTGAAATAGTATTAGACTTATATTCGTAGTTTGTAAAATTTCCTACTTGACTTCATATTCCAGCTTTGTATTACACCCCCAATTCCCACGGATATTTTGAGTGAATTATGCTATTCCTGAAAAGTGTTCAAAGAGCTTAAAATATGGTTAGAACAATTTTTGTATTTTCAGCAGGAGCAGAAAGGAATTTTTCAAAGATGAATTAATGTTCAGAGAAGAGAAGTAGCTTATTTCTAATACATCAAACACAGCGACTGTTGTCTAAGTGGCCTATTTCTAAAGGAATGGACATAAGGCTAAGAATCAACATCCTTCATGTTTGCCCAGAACTGACCCTATAGTTCTGCCCTAATATTTACCCTGTAAAAAGTTTTGCACAAACAGGAAAGAATATGCCATTGTCAGAAACCAGTGAACCAAACACAGGGACACAGCAAAGTGATGACCACAAATGAAGACCCAAACCCACAACACAGAATGACCACAAATACCATAAAATAATGGCCCACACCTGTCCATTCCCAGGCAGTATCCTTCCCTTTAGCCTTGCATTGGTATAAAAAGGCATTACCTTTTGTGCTTGAGGCTGACAAATGTTATAGGCTCAGCCAGGGCTGACACACTATTCTGCCTCAGCACATCTGCACTTAGAAGCAAAAGAAATCTCATTGTTTGCTAACTCATGTCTAAGTCACCTTGTTGAACCTTCTAATGGGACCCCACTCCTTAAGTGAAAACATGATTAAGGATAAATAACACAGCCATTGGTTCAAAGAATATTACATACAAGTGAGGATATCAATCAAGAAGCAACATGGAAATATCTTAAATAACAGTTGTATTGTTTTGTCAGGTATTATTTAATATTTTTCATTAATATTTCAAAACTGTCCTAACAATCCAGTTTTGTGTACCTCTTTATTGTTCATGTTTAAATATTAATTATTAATTGTATGAAATAATGAACTGCCTTTCCGTATATCATTTTTTAAATAATTAAAATGGTCATTAGGACCATTTGAACAAGTTCAACCAGTGAACTGGTTCTTAAATTACTTGAATCCTGCCACTATTCCAAATCATAGCTTAAGATGTTCTGAATTCTAAGGGAACATGAATTATAATTGCCTGTTATCCTAAGTAGTTTTTGCAATGATATAAAAGGCTAGTGCTTTAAAAGGCAGTCAAAACCTTGTATTTTAGTTAGGGAGACAGGCAATAGTCAATAAGCAATTAGAGAAACAGGTGGATAGGTGAGCAGTTGGATGCATAGGTAGATGGATGGATGGATGGATGGATGGATGGATGGATGGATGGATGGATGGAGAGGGAGAGAGAAAAATACATTAGGATAGAAGTAGCTGATCAATGGTATTTACTTCATTTCTTTTAGAGATATAGCCTTTGAGAACATGCAGAGTCCATTTTCTTAATATCAATAAGTTTGATTTGCATCAAGGGCTCATATTGGCAAGGATATTAAAAAAAAGGAAAGGTAAAGAAAACTCACTGCCTTCAGTTGGTTCTGACTCATAGCAACACTACAGCATAGGGTAGATCTGCCCTGATGGGTTTACTAGACTGCAACTCTTTAGTAGAAAGCCTGTCTTTCTCCCTGGCTAAGGACGTAGATGGAAGAAAATTATATAGCAAATTTTGCAACATCATCGTGTTTCCCTGAAAGAGAATGTATTAAATTAGCGATGCATTTCCACTGATTGGTAGGCACAAGGATTTGTGTGTTTTGTATTAGTAGGACTTTATTACGTTCCACCCTCCTGCTTTGGATTAGTAGGACTTTAGGCTCATATGAGAGTTTAATATGGTTATAAAGATAAAATAATAAATGTTAATTTTCTTACTCTGTCACACTGCTACAGTTTGTTAATTTACTTTTTTTCTGTTTCACAAATTAGTAGTAATTCCATTCTTATGCATCATTTATATTTGCTCTTGATATTTTTAAGTTTTTATTTTAATCCTTGTTTAAATAGAGAAGTTGGCTACTATTTTCTGTTTAAGAAAAAGATCTTTTAATAAATAATTATTAACATTTCCTTAAATCTTAAACCAGTCTCCTTTCTCACACACTGCTTCCCTTAACCATTCCTCATTGACACTTTTAAAAGTATCATTTCTTTAGCATCCTCACCAAGTTGTTGAAATTGTTTTTTATACCGAGAAATCTTAACCGAGATAACATTTCATTAAAATTCTAATCAGCAGGTTACAAAAATAGTATAACTGTCCATTCAGACCCATACCTTTGTTCAAAACCCATACCTTTGTAAAGAAAAATCTTAATTTGGTTAAAAATAAAATAGAGCTAATTTACCAGGTATCTCAATCTTGTCCTGGAGGTGGAACATTCAGCATCCACCAACATGGTTGTAGTTATTTGAGCTTAGGAGATCAAGGGTTACCCTCACAAGGGAATAATGATGTCATTTACTTAATCTTTTCTTTTTTCTCTCTCTGAGTAATGCTACTTTTAATTGATATTTACTTGAAAGCCAAAGTTTGGGAAACTACTTGTTTTTGCTTCACAACTCCTTTATTTAGCTCTATGAAGGGTTTTGTATTTATGGAGTTACTATCTGCCTCTTTGAAATTAAACAATTTTTTTTCTTTTTTGTGTCAACAGAGTAATTATTCTTACCTTCAGAATTCTTCATTGAACGTTCTTCTTTTTTTCTGTTTTCCCATCCTTAATTGAATCCTTTATATCTTCAAATTTAGCATAACAGATCTTCCTCAGTCCTAATTTTTCTTAACACTTATATTTTTATGAATCTTTTAGTGCTTCATTGTAATCTTATTTTTCTCATTTTAAATATTACTTCTCAAATTCTTTGATTCCTTATTTGCCCTAAGAGATTCTGCTCAATGCTATTAAAGTTAATCCAGCCAATATGCTTTTAAATTATTCTATCCATTTTGAATTGTTATCCAGATCTATTTTCCCTTCTTTGAATTCTTAGTATCCTTCTTTTCCTCTTTCTTTGCATCACCCGATTCTGCATTGACATCTTTCTTAGCATCTTTCTTTGCATCTTTCTTAGCATCTTTCTTAGCATCTTTCTTATCTTTTATGGAACCTTTCTTGGACTCTTTCTTAGTATCAACAGTTGATTCACTGCTTGCCTTGCTGGGCTTCTTTTCATCTTTCTTATCCTTTTTACTATCTTTCTTCTTTAAATCCTTCTTGTCCTCATCCTTTGATTGAGTATCTTTCTCTTCAGTTGTTTTTACATCTTTTGCATCCTTCTTTCCACCCTTATCCTTCTTTGCATCTTCTTTTCCAGTTTCAGATGGTGCGGCTGAAACCTTGACCTTCTTTGAATCTTTCTTTTCTTTCTGAATTTCTTTCTTTACATCTTCTTTTTCAGTTTTGGTAGCTGACTCCTTGACCTTCTTTGAGCCTTTCTTTTCTTTCTTGGCATCTTCCTTCACCTCCGCTTTTTCACTTTCAGTGTCTGTATCGGTACCCTTCACCTTCTTGGCCCCTTTCTTTTCTTTCTTGGCATCTTCCTTTACCTCCGCTTTTTCACTTTCAGTGTCTGTATCGGTACCCTTCACCTTCTTGGACCCTTTCTTTTCTTTCTTGGCATCTTTCTTTACCTCCGCTTTTTCACTTTCAGTGTCTGTATCGGTACCCTTCACCTTCTTGGACCCTTTCTTTTCTTTCTTGGCATCTTCTTTTACATCTCCTTTTTCACTTTCAGTGTCTGTATCGGTACCCTTCACCTTCTTAGACCCTTTCTTTTCTTTCTTGGCATCTTTCTTATCTTTCTTAGAATCTTTCTTTATAATTCCCTTTTCACTTTCAATCTCTGGTTCTGCACTTTTGCCCTTCTTTGACTCTTTTTTAACTTTTTGGACATCTTTTTCATCCTCAGATTCAAGAGGTATATCCTTGCCTTTCTTATCTTTATTTGATGCCATTGAAAATTTGGATTCTGTTTCTGAATCTGATTTGTCCTTTTTGTCTACTTTCTTGTCTTCTTTCTTTGGAGGTAATTGTGGTCTGGCATGTGCTTCTCTCAAAAACTTCCTGGAGGTTGGTCTGGTTGGGGGCCGCCTCCTTGCAGCTAAATAGACAGATGGTCGCTCAGAAATAGTCATTAAAGAACGATGCATCCATAATGGTCGCGTTCGACCTTCCTTTAATTTTTCTTCACGATAGCTCTGAAATATTGTTTAGAATAATGATGAGTAATGTGTGTAACACAAATTGTATTGTGAAATACCAAATGCATTTTAAATTCAACCATGATAAAATTACATTTGGATGAAGAGTGGACAAAGGGAAGATTTCATAGTCTATTCTACTTTACCATTCTTATTTTCACTTACAGAAAAACCTCACTTTAAACCGAATCTCAATTTCCAGGATCCTCATTATTCTGTCCAGATTTTATACTATAATTGCTATAGAGCTATAGTGAATAATGTTATATCAAATTGCTTTACAATATAAGAATTGTTTTGTTTTGCTTCATTTAGAAACATTGTGTGTTTGAAAATGCTCGAAATATCTTGCCAACCCAACTTCCATCCCTATGAATAGTAATTCTCTGTGCTTGTTAACTATATAAGTTCTGTAATGTGGAAATGTTAAAAATAATTATTTAATGTGAAATAAAGCAAAATTGTTAGACCATGAAATGCAAATAAAATATATCTATCTCCCCCAAAGAATTGGAATCATCTTTTAACTGTGCTGTTCAACTTGATGTGACTATTTAAAATGTGTTTAAATAAAATATAAAATCCAGTTTCTCATCTGCACTAGTCTCATTAACGTGTGCAATTGTATTGTACTGCAAAGCTATAAGCAGTTTCTACCAAATACAAAAACTATGTGTGTGTGTGTATTGGTGCCTCTCTGTGCATGTATTACTTCACAAATTTATGACTAGTTCAATTACATAGTGTTTAAAAAACTTACAGAAACTGATTTTTCTTCTAATTGGGAAGGTGTTGATCTTCTTTTTGTTCCGGGCCGGGGTGGTTTTGGAAATGCTAGGGCGAAGTGTTGTTGATTCCATGATTTTTTGCTTAATTCACTGACTAAATAAAGTAGGAAAAGATAAAACAAGCTTTTTGGAATTAATGGTTAAAATTTCATCAAACTTACATAGTAAATAAAATAATATTGTAGAATGACTAATCAAATGATTTATATTGTAGCCTAGTTTGTTGACTTGTTTTAAAATGTTTGCTATTAATATGAGAAAGTAAAATTCGGTTATTCTATGTTGACCAACTTTATAAATAGCTATATATAGTCATTATGAAAATGAGCATAGGGGAGAAACACTTTTACTTAAGTTTTTCCATCTCTTCCAGGTTCAGTTTCTGATTTATGTTCTTTTGGTTAGACTATAATTACATTGAGAGCACAAAATCTATAAATAACTCTAGCACCCCAAGGTACTTACTTAGCACACTGCTTGGCATAAGATATTCAGTAAATATATTATTGAATATAAGTGCTAATGTTTAAGATCCTCTTATCTATTATTTATTTTTCAAAAATAAAAATGCTACAAATCCAATTATTGCATTTTCTTGAGTGAAATATGAAAATTAACAAATAAAGAGTATTCACAGAATGGTAAAGTTTCCTGAAAATTGTAATAGAAATGATTAAATTTAGGTTACCATCAGATCATCAATGATTGTAAATATTTGGCATATTATTATTTGTGAGAAGAAAGAATTGTTCTGTGAGTCTCTTAAGGACAAGGGTTGAATCAATGGGGAAACTTTATAAAATGTCAGGCAGAATTAAAGAATAAATATAACCAATAAAAAATGTTTTAAAGGATAAATAGGAGTTGGAGTTACCTGAGATTTAAGCTGTTCAATATCAAACTGGTTTGCCTTGTGAAATAATGAAACTTTTTTTTGCTAATTTTAAAGTAGGTATGATCTATCAAGAACTACTGATTTGCTAATTATAAACTTGGTATAATCTAGAACAAGAGATTCTTGACATCAATGAAAAATTATTTTTCTTATGTCTATGTTGCTTTTCAATTGTAAATGATCTGATTTCATGATCTCTAATTGCTGAACAGATTTGCTTATTTGAATTTAAATTTTAAAATTAAATATAGCATGTTTATAAGTGTTATCTTGAGACCATGAGAAAGGTGCTTTGAAAAATTGATAGTTGATTTTCCATAATATTCAGTGAAAGTTTTATCATTTTGAATAAATATCATTTACCCCTGAATTTAATAACATGTTTTAAAAATAAATACTGGATTATAAGCCACCATTCTTACCTGGAACGTAATTATCATATGCTCCATAGTTTATTTTTCGGCTATTGAAAGAAAAGGGGTATGTTTAAGGATTTTATATAAATTATATATTTTTAATTTTTTAATGCATTTGTCATCAACTTGAGAAATATTTTCCCTTCAAATCTCTATTATTATGTAAGATTGCATCATCCATAGGAATATTAGAGCTGCTAAAATATGTGTTTTAACACAGATTTGAAAAGAAGTCAACCTTGGAGGACCAAAACATAAACCACATGCACGCAAACACACAGTAATCAGTGTTCCCTGTCTCAAATATATACAACATTAAAAACTGTAAAATATGATTTTCATTTTCTCAGCTGCATATTCTCAATTTTATTGCAATTGAATTTGAACTCCGACGTAATGATTGGAAGCACAACACCATCTCATGGGAAACTTTGGAGGAAATTTTGCTAAGCAAAGTAAGTCAAGCACAAATGGACAAGTACAACATGAGTCCACTGAGGTAAGCTTAAAAAGCACTCGGACATAGGGGGAAATGCCACGAAATGCATAAATTCTCAGGGAGAGGCCCAGGCACTCTGGCAGGGGTCAGCCCCAACCCAGGGATGCATATGGCAGCCAACTAAAATGAAGGGGGAAAGGGGAAGGAAAAAAAAGAGAGAGAGAGAATGTGGACAGTGGGGGAACAGGACACTAACCCACTCACAGGGAGGGTATTATAAATGTCTCCACAGGAAAGGGATAGAGGGACCAGACTTCAACCTGGTATGCCAAGCCTTGGGTGCAGCATACCATCATGAAGCAGCGAACTAACAGAGAGGTCTGCAGGGCCGAATCCATTCCCAGCTACGTCGGTCCTATCCCCAGAAGACTGCACTGCAGTGGACAGCACTGAAGACACAGCCCAGGGAGAGTGGCGGTCTGCCATGATTATGTGGGAACAAACTGAGAGGGGGCCGGGGAGAGAAAGAGAACCTCCTGTTGGCCCAACAAGTCCCAAGGAGGACACTCTTGCTCAGCGCAACCAAGGCACAGAGAGGACCACAGGGCTGGTCCCAATACGAGACCAGCCCTATGGTCCTCTTTGTGCCTTGGTTAATACATGTGCTTGTATACATCCCTCTATTTATACCTCTATAAATGTCCTTTGCCTTCTAGCTCCTTCCTCTGTTTTCTTTTACTATCGTCCTGTTCCACTATCATGTTCGACCTTCATTCAGCTCTCAGTAATTTCTCTCAACTACATTGCACTTGATCAAACCCACCAGACATTCTATACCCTCCTCACCGTTGATTTGAGATCTCTTTTTGTACCCTTCTCCCTGATTTGTAGGCTTCTCCTTTCCTTTCCCTCACCTCCCCCTCTCCACTGCCCCTCCGGAACCATCAGTCCCCATTGTTAAGATAGGGATTGTTTATTTTCCCTATCTTATATCGATATACATGAAAAAAAAGAAAAGAAGGAAAAAATCAACAACCAAAAAAAGGCTTGATCTAGTCTGATGAGGTACTGTGTTAGTCTGGGTAGACTAGAGAAACAAATCCATGGACACACATATGTGTATAAGAAAAATTTACCTACAAGAACAACTGAACATTGAGAAAACATCCCAGCCCAGACCAGATCAAGTCCATAAGTCCGATATTAGCCCATATGTCTGACACTAATCTATAAAGTCCTCTTCAAACTCATGAAACACATGCAATGATGCCGAATTTAGAAGATCACAGGCCATTCGGTAGAAAGTCTTTGGATCCAGTGGCATTGGAAACATCTCAGCACTTGCAGGGGTCTCTGCATGGCTTCTCCAGCACTCAGGGCTTCATCAGGGTGGGTCCACGTGTCTTGTCAGCGATGTCTCCTAGGGTGTGTGCAGAGAGCCTGCTACCTCCAAGGAGGAAATACCGGAATTCCCAGAATCCTATGCCCACACAGAAGCCTCATTGGCTATGACCTGATTGACAGGCTAGACTCCACTCCTACAAGCTTAATCCTTAAGCTTGCCCTCCAAGCCTTGCCCTCCAAGACTGAAGTCTATTTTGGGGATTCCTCGGGGGTCTTAGTTGCTTTGCTCTGCTTGCCACTCTGTTGCACTCCCTTCTTGTTTTGCCCCAGTGTGTGTGTGTTTGTGTGGAGGGGTCTCACCAGGCACAATTCCATACTGTGTCTCCGGTGCTGTCCCCTGCAGCACTGTGGATGTCAATTCAAATCACTCAGGACACTCAGTTGTTTATGAATGGGCTAAATGGCTGGTACCATGTCTCACAAAATGTCTTGAACTTGATAGAGTTTATTTTGAGAAATACAATTTATATATTTTTAAGATTATAATTTGATTTTTCAAACTTTCTGAAAATCCTTCATATTTGATATTTCACTTTGATGTATCTTCATTCATTTTACATATTGAAGAGTTTTATTTTCCATCTCCCTTTATCACAAAATAAATTAAGCTAAAGGATACTTCTATAATAATAGTCTCCCTGCACGGATAAGTTATTTTACATGCCAGCATACTTGTCCACACATGGTGTTTCTCATTGAGAATGTAATTAGCATTTTCGTTCATCTTTTCTATGAAGGACGGGCCCTTACCCTCTAAATGCCAGAGACACTTCAGTCACAGTGACACAATTTTTCTATAAAATTTCAAATTACTCTCAAGGAACGGGTTCATGAATTCAAATCATGAATTTTGGAATTCTATATTACTCAAAACACAATATAGTGAGAGATAAAGTACATGTTATAGTTAAGAAGACTAACCCCAAACATGTAGCTATTTTATTGAAGTACAAACATTAGGTCTGGAATTAAAGGAATATTAAACATTGCTTGAAAATATGTCTCCGCTAAACACAGTATCTCTTTTTAACAATGACATAATGTAATTAACATTTCATTATACTACAGAGAATAATGATAAAGCTAAACAGTGATTTCAGTTATTTAAAAATAAAAGACTTACAATCTTGGTACAGACATTTCCCCCACTTATGCTTTGCCAGGAAGTAAGCATTGTAAATTCAGCCTGTGATGTTGACAGGTGACATCATAAAGAGATCAGAACACTGGGATTTAAGAAGACAAGCCAGAGGAGCCCATTTTACTTATGCCCTAAACTGTCTGAAATTCAGTCCTTCTCTGTTCAGCTGATAGTTTTTAAAATAGCTAATTCTTCCATGATTAAATCCTAGGCTTAACTGGCATTTGGTTATGTTAGGTAGCTAGATTTAGGGACAGGGGTGTTGTCCCTCCCATGCCTGCAAAGGCCCCCATATGGGAGGTTGGAAAGAAACCAGGCACACCAATTGGACACCTGTGGGAGAAACCCAGGACTGAGTATGCACAGACTAGGACCCCCTAGAACCAGGTAAAATCAAGACCTTGAACTCACCCACCTTAGGTACATCACAGGTGGGCCTAACTCAGCCAATGACGTCAACCAATACCTTCGACCACGCCTCCCTGAGGCAGGGGCAGGATTGAATAAAGCAGGAAGTATGCCCAGAGCACTTTCTTTTCCCTTTGCTCACTTAACCCTCTTGGCATCTCCCCTGGCCTGCCACCAGCCTTATTTTGTTCTGCCCTTGTTCAGGGGCATGATGTCAGGAGGGCCTCTTCATGCGGGACATGCATGGGATTGCCGAGGCCCGCTCCGGGCCTACTCGGGGCCCACGTGGACGTGGACTCTTGGCCTCTCAGACTCTGGGGATTCCCCAGTTCCACATGCGTGGGCGCTCTTTTCAATATGGTATTTTGTGCCCAGTTGTGAACCCCAGCACGGCATCCGCAAGGTTTGGCACGCATTCCATAAATACTGTGTCCCCCTTTGACACTGTAAAACCTAAATCCTTTCTGTTTGTTTATAAAAACTCACTTGGATTACAAATTGTGCCGCATTATGAGTTTTTTCCGTGTGTGCAGAGCAAGGAATGGAGGGATTACCCACTCCAGAAACCTAGCAGTTATAATGTAATTCCTGATATGGAAAAGAAAGACAAATCAAAACATTTATTTGTGAAGATATATTTTTCCTAATAAATATTCATTCTTTTAAAATTGTTTGCATAATTATTTGCATTGCCTTCCCAATCTTTACCAATGACTTGCATTTAAAACCTGAAGACATTGATTCTCTTTATCACCTTTAGAAATCATTTGCTCCTAGTTCGCAGGAATTAGTATTCTTAATAGAAGTAGGTCTCTTTGTACCTCCCAAGGATTTCATTTCCTTTAACTTGATATCCCTGTTTAGGATACTTCAGAAGGGATCCATTTGTTGCTTTGCCCCTGACATAAAATAAATGCTCAGTAGGAATTTCTTAAATAAATAATAAAGTAAATATAAGTGAATAAGAAATTGAAAAAAAAGGACACAAGACCTTCCAAGTTTTTACTAACTTGATTAAATATATGATATATTTAACTATACTTGCCCAAATTTTATCAGTAAATTTGAAAAGTTTGATTTGCTGCAAGATTTTTAAATCTGTAAATCAGTGGTTTAATGTACTCCATTTAAATCTATTAACATACATCTACTCTCATCATTGAAAGAATTTAAGAAAATTTCTGTTTGGGGGGTATTTTTTTAAATCGTTTTATTAGGGGCTCATACAACTCTTATCACAATCCATACATTCATCAATTGTGTAAAGCACATTTGTACATTCATTGCCTTCATCATTCTCAAAACATTTGCTCACCACTTAAGCCCCTGGCATCAGGTCCTCATTTTTTTCCCCTCCCTCCCTGCTCCCTGCTCCCTCATGAACC